ATTCCTCCTCGAAGATCCACCAGAGCAGGAACTTTTACTGAGTTTTTTGAAGATCCCAGCAGGGCATTATCTGCTGCTAATGAGAATGACGGCTATGTGGATATGAGCAGCTTCACTGGCTTTGAGAACAAGCAGCAAGCCACAGACCAGGAAACAGAAAGGTACTATAATAAATTATTATGTATGACCTGCTAGCCCTGGCCATACAGGCAAGGCTTCTCCTGCTGCTTATTGTATGTAGGTAGATCCTCCATTTGCTTGGCTTATACCCCCTCTCAGGAAATACTTACCAGAAAGATTGCAAGACTATGAGATAAGCCTTTACCAGTGGGGAAAAAATAATAATAATAATAATAATAATAAAAAAATACTCCACCAAATTAATTCTTTATCTTGTAAATGTGTACTAGCAAGTCCAGTGGATCTGGATCCTCTGGTTTACAGATACAAACCAAAGAACGTTTAAAAATATTTGGTTTATCCAATGGATCTAATTTTTGTGGCTTTTTGGGGGGGGGGGGGTCTTGAGTAAGAAAGGTTTCTGATTTCCCCACTGAATGAATATAGAGCCTGTTTGTGGGAAGGGGTCCTGCTTTGTTTTTTCATTCCTTTCAACTTCTCAAAGCAACTCTCTCTGTACATGTAAAATTTATCTTTCAAAGTACATCATTTAGGTATAGGCCAGAAGATCCCAAATCATGAACTAATCAGACTAGACGATGAATTTTAGAAGTTGCTTTAAAGCCTGTCATTATGGCCCTTTGGTAGAGCTTCTAATTTATAAATGAATTAAGTATCTCTGTCTGAAATCATATACATTGCTGGCATTAATAACAATCTTTTATCCCATTCCATTAGATTATTTGCAAATAAGAAAATGTCCTTTTCATAGTTACATACGAGAAATGCACTCAAGATATTTGAATTTGAATCTATTGTCAAATTATAGTGTATGATCAGTGGAGTGCAGCGATCTAAATAAGAGTGTTTTCCATTAAGTTCATGTTAAACAGGTAATGATAAAACAAGGTGCAAGGCAAATCAATGAAAAGTCATGTCTTTAATGTAACTGTATTTTGTTAGAGCTATGTGAAAAAGTTAAACATCTTAAATGCAAGGTTTTTGTTTCCATTTTCATCCATCATTCTCCTTCTAAAGATTTAATACTTCTTTTTCTTTGCAACATTTATTTCTCTCCCCTGTCACTGTGAATTAAGCAAACCATGGGCATTTCACACATCCCTCTTGATATTTCAGACTGGGTGAGGGTAAGAACTTTACCACCTCTGAATGAGTCTTGCAAGCCACTTCTAAGACAAGAATGATGTATTGTGCTATGTCATTCTGAGAGAGGAGAGAATTAGCGGGGCTGGGGAAGGCAAGTGTGACATATGGAAAGAGATTGTATCGATGCTTAAGCTGTAGATCAAATGTGCCTGAATCTGAGGGGTCTGAGACAGAGGCCTGTGGTTTAGCTCTTTGGCGATGCTGGCTGTTTACAGCGCTGGCAGTGTCGGTGGTGCCAGCTCTGGGAGGTGGTGGGGCACAGCACAGTTTCGCAGCAGGCAGCTGCGTGCCCAGAGCCCTGCTGGGCGGCGGCAGCGTTAGCAGGGCTGGCAGCCCCTCAGGCACC